CTACGAATCTTTGAGTTAACATGTACTAAACCTGAGTGGAATTTGCACCGCAGCGCCCCCACACCTTGATGCTCATGACTAGAATAGCATGTATAGTTATCTTTATTGAAGTGAATTAGGTTTAAATCGCCGTCATGCATGAATGAATGATATTTTTGCAATTTTACACATAATAATCCACGATGATCACATTACACAAAACTGAAATTGCACGTCAAAATAACACATTGTCAATATTTTTTGAGACCCCCCAAAATTTTACAAATCATGTTTTCAGGGGAGCCCATGTCTTATTAAGGGGAGCCGAGCTCCCCCGTAGTTCGCACCCTGCCTGTAGGCCCATCAGGGATGAATGAATGGCTGATATGGATGTGTGTGCCTATGTGTGTGTTTGTCCAGCTGGTTCAGACGTGCCACTGGATGTGTCTAAAGGAGACAAGTCTCAGAGTGACCTCATCACTCCCACCAGCAGATGGTGAGAAATATTAAAAGAAAAAAACTAAACGCATATTTAAAAAGAGAAGCAGTTACTAAACACTGTATATCAGAAGGTTTCAAATTCAGGACTGCAGTTGTACTTCATATGATCTTACTGGCATACGCACACATTGTACCAAGTACACAGTTTGTTCAAGTCAGCATGAAATCCTGTGAAATAATCATTATGTAAATAGGTCTCCTATAGAAGAGGCTCCTGTTTCTATGGAGGTGATATTAGAGGAGCGTGTTGAACTGCCACAGGGAGAGACGGAACCTGGGATGGATGGCATCACCAGTGCTGACCTGCTCAGGTACATTGAGAAACTTAGTAGCTGAACATGTATTTGTGAGCGTAACTGTCTGGTGTCATCCAGACGTCCATCAGATCCTTTTCAGTCATTCTTTCTGTCATTCAGACTGATCAATATCTTCATCAAGCGCTTTGGGAAGGTCTGCTTTCACTCACTGCTGCCCCCAGAGGCCGAGCGCAGCACTGCAGCTCATCTGTTCTACAAAATACTGGGTAATCTAGTTTGGGTAATCTATTGTTTTTACTGTCTCACAGTATGTATGTGACATGCGATCTGTGATCTGTTTGTTTTACAGAGCTGCTCTGCAGTCTGAAGTTAAGTGCTTGTCAGAATGAAGCGTTTGGTGTCATCACCATGAACTGCTGAACACACACACCTCGGTGCAAACATACGCGCACTCAAACAAGTTGAAGCTGTTAGATTCACTGACTGTTATGCTGAAATATATTAAGCCAGTTCAGATGTCAGTTTAAATACACAGTCTGTAGTCTTGTATTCATAACAAAGAAATATAGAAATAGCTACACATAATATTTGTGATGATTATGAATTATCGGTTACTGTAATTATTATTTTAACATAAATTATTTCACATAGTAGTTGCATGGTTTTAGAGAGGTAGCGTGCTCTTTTTAAATTAAGTTTATATTACAAAAAAACATTTTTGTGAATTTTTATGACATTTTTAACATGTTTTTATTTTAAATTTTTTATTTGACTTCTACAGAATGTACAATGTATATAAGTTTTTAGCTGTTTTCAAGTTATGGAATAAACATAATGAATGAATTTGACAGAATTTGTCTCAATCTAATAATTATAATGTGTGTGTGTATACTAATAAAGTGTTAAAGTGACGTGACATGTGGCCAAGTATGGTGACCCATACTCAGAATTAGTGCTCTGCATTTATCCCATCCAAAGTGCACACACACAGCAGTGAACACACACACACACTCACACACACCGTGAACACACACCCGGAGCAGTATATATAATATATTAAAAGTGAATACTCAGCATTCTTCTCAACTGTCAAATTATCTTCTACGGTGATTTATCTTGTCACATACAACTTACTGTTTTTACAGACCTATTATTACTATAGTCCAGGCTTGCATTGTACTTACACTTACTGTACTTAGTAGTGTACATTTTTTTAAACAACTTTATGACATGATCCTTAAAATCACAATGTAACAAAAGAAGAGACAGATTTTTTTTCTCCTGTATTGTGACACATCTGTAGGCTACTTGATTCTTCCTGTCGGGAGAGATCTGAATGTGAGTTTGCAGTCGATTGTAAGCAATGGGCAGGCTTTAAGCAAACTAAATGATTTGAAAAGTCCTGCATACGCCACCAGAGAGATGTCTGATGTTTCACCAGTTATAATGTTTTAATTCAATATTACAATGTCAAATAAGTTTAAAGTGTAGGGGAAGAGAGTCAATTACCCCTATCAGTTTTAGTGCATAGGGGGCAGTGTAGGGCTTAA